TTACAAATAAGTCTAATAATAAATGAGGCGTCACAGACGCGGAGTGGAAGTTGGTGAGCCGTAAACATTAGCCCAACCAACGCTCAAGCGCTGCAATTGTGAATTAACATAAACACGCGCAGCGTGTGGTCATCAAATGACGTCGTGCAGCTTGAGCTATAATGATGCGTTGCCTGGCGGACAGATTTTTTTTTTTTTTTTTTTTTATACAAGAGATTTACAGTATTAAACAAGTTGAATATTAAATTTTAGAGTTAAATTCGAGCATACGGCGTTTGGCCTCACCAAGGTGAGGCTACTTGCCAGCCGCCGCACAGAACACTAAGCTGTTAAGACCATTAGACAATTAGATAATAAATAGTGAACAGATAAGTAATAAAACATTGTATAGTTATACTAATTAAGATTAAGATGACACATTTAAAACAAGGACTATGACGTGCAACTCATGGCTTGCCGGTTCCTGAGGGGGACCGACCTAGGGCGCTTAAGTGATTATTAGAAGAAACAGACATAAATAACAAGTTAAAATTAGCTAAAATGGTAAATAGGACAGTCACAGTGTATAAGGACATTATATTACGAGTTCTCCTACGGTATGGTTGCACTGTAATCACTTTCACTTGCACTTGATGTTAGCGCCTCGATGCAGGCTTGAACCCTGTTCTGCGGGTACCTGTACCTAATGCAGCCTTGAGTTCACTGTCCGCCGGGGAGAGAGAGTGGGGGAGAGATCTCGATCTCTGATGGGGGTTGAGGGCGAGTTTGGCGTCCTCAGTACAAGGTAGCGGGGGTGGAGATGTGACGGTTGCGAGAACCATGACTTGCGACCAGCAGGGGGGGTGGGGGGGAGGTGGGGAGCGAAAGTATGCTAGCGTCGCCTCCGATTCCAAACTAACCTGCCAAAGTGGTGGTGGATGGTAGAGCCCCATTTCAGGGCAGAATGTACGCAACTTGCTCTTATTGGCGGGGTTAGTTGGATGTGGACGTCCAGAGGTTCATTGCATCTTGGCCAGATGCCTCTAGCGCCGATGGTCAACGGCTCAAAAACGAAGTTTTCACCCGGCCAGAGGATGGAAGCGGCCTGGATGAATTGGGGGGTGTTATACTTCGCCCTCTTTTCGGCATGGCAGACGCCAAGCGGAACGCTACTCTCCCACCTCACTTGGACGTCACAGACGATAGTACGTCCGGGAGCGTGAATCACAAGATCGGGTTTGTAGAGAATGCCATCATTGTGTCGAACGTGAGGCTCCTCCTCGACCTGCCAACCCTTGGCCTGGCAGTGGCGAGCGATCTTTTTGGCTATTTCGTTGTGGCGTCGGATCCGCTCCCAATGTGTGGAAGGGCATTGCTGGAGGACGTGACTAATCGTCTCTATTCTGTTACATCCTCCGCGGCATTGTCGACGGGCAGGATCGTTGTATATAAGGCCCGCAGTGGGCAAATTGTTGGAGCGGAGCTGGACGGCTCTAACATAGTCCCTGCCCGTCCAGCCGTTCGGTTTACTGTCGATCCAGGATCGCGACGCCACATCGTCTGACGAATTTTCGAGGCCGGCTAGTGTGGGTGAGGCTTTAAGCTTACTCAACCAATACTGATCGGGGGGGACAACGCCGGCCAGATTATGGATCCTGTCAAGGACTTGACGCATAAGTGGTGATTGCATCACATAGCTCAGCGCGCTGTCCCCCTCTGCCAGCATCAGTCGGGTAAGCCTATTTAGTAGGATTTTTGGGATGGCATTCCTCAAAGCCTGCACGCCAAGTCCCCCATCCTTGATTTTGGCGTGAATAGCCGCATCAGGTGTATGGATGTTAAGATGGAGGAACTTCTTGGTGTGATAGCGGACGGCTCTGTCGGCCTCTCGCAGCGTGCCACCCGTGATTTTCGTGTTTTGCAGCCCATAATATGCCTTTGGCAGAATGAAAGACTTTAAAATTGCCAATTTTTGATCCGGCTTTAGAGGTGCACGAGCCAGGTTTTGGAGCCATCTGTTTATGTTAGTTAGATTCGGTTTCATAATCCCGCTAGCTCCAAATTGATGGCCAAGGTATTTGAATGGATCTATGCCATTAACCATCCTAATTTGCTTTCCCAAATGCTTAATAAAGGGTTTTGTTCTTACAGCTAGTCTTCCCTGCCTGGGGACCAATGCTGCAGACAGGAGGCATGTTTTGTCGGTGTTCATAGACATGCCCCTTTGCATGAAAAATTTGTGTAGCCGCTGTATTAAGAGCGGGAGGCGTTCTTCGCTATCCTCAAGGACAACGAGGTCGTCCGCGAACGCCATAGCCTGGCATTTGGTTTCGCAATCCGTGCCCATAGTGCCTCCTGCCGAAGCGTCCGAGTTTAGGTCAAAGAGGAGCTCGTCGAGCACAAGATTAAAAAGCAGGGGACTCAGAGGGTCACCCTGTTTCACGCCCCGGGTGATGTTGATTGATTCTGTGTTTTGATCACCCACTTTTATTACCGTAGATGAGCCGGTTAGACTGGTCATAAGGAAGTTTGTCATGGCTTCGGGTATGCCAACTCTGAGGAGACTACGGCGAACCGAATGATGTGATACCGTATCAAAGGCCTTACGCAAATCTACCAGGAGGACGTTGTAAGGTTTGCGCTCACTGGTACGGTGTTGGATGTAGTGGTTCAAGATTACAGAGTTGGCCAATGTACCGTCAACATCAGTAAAGCCCCGCTGGTTGGTATTGAGGGACACCGCGGCCTTAAGCCGCGTCGAGATACAGCGGTGTAGCAACCGCTGTAGAGCTGAGCTTACGGTGATAGGCCGCCAGTTGGAGGGATCCCGCCGGTCCCCGTCTTTAGGAATCAGGGTGGTTCTAGAGGTTAGCCAAGACCTGGGAAGCCGCCCTCTGAAGAGAATGCAATTATAAAGTAATGCAAGCTCGTCGCTTGGGAGTCGCTTTACGTCGAGGACGTTGATGCCATCGGGCCCAGCGGCCGAGGGGGACCAGTTGTTTTTGGCCGCATCAACGTCTGCGGGGGTGATGGCCCGCACGAGCTCTGCGCATTGCTCTTCGGTGAGGGCGGCTGGCTGGAAGGGGGCGTCGTCCGGGGGAGATTCGCTGCCCAGGATACCCCCGTAGAGGGCCTGGACCTCGTGAATGGGGGGGGTAATCGCTGGGACGTCGAGTGAGCGGCCACTAAGAATGATTTCGGCTAATGAAGATCTGCTTTTGTTATAGAGGTCCTGCGCCTTTTTGAAAAGAGACTGGCGAGGTCCGCGGCCAGTGAAGGACTGACCGTAATTTTGTTGCCTTTTAGTGGCCGTTGAGTTGGAGTTGCCGGGGTTGGCTACGCCTGAGGGGCGATTGCCTGCCCTACCCTGCGAATTAGCTTTGGATTTCGATTTCACCCTGAATTTTCCGGCAGCCCAGGTCTCCATGGCGGAGTCGTATTCCTGGTTGCTACCGGTCAGGGTGGCCTGAAGCAGGTTTTCCGACTGACGCTCGCCGCTGATGTTGGGTGTTTGGCGATCGCGGAGGGTGGCGAGCTGCACCAGAAGGTGATTGAATATGTTCGCCAGGCCTCCGGTCTCGAGGTTTGCTTGTGTACTTCCTTCCCTGCCGACGAGGAGTTCGTCGGTGAGGTCATTGACCGGAAGGGTAGTTGGTACACGTGGAGCGTGCGGAGCGTTGTCGGTGGGGGCTATGTTGGGGGTTGTGGGGGGCATTTCGGCGAAAGTCACTCGACGCTTAGGTGCCGGATCGAGTGGGCTGCTGGGATCTTCCCCGGGAGACTTGGGCCTTGGTCTCTTCCGGGTGGCGGTTAGAACTTGCAAGATCTTAATGCCAGGATTCCTGTTTTTGGTCTTGCCTGGGCCCTTGCCCTTGGCGGTGGGGGTGCCGGGGACAAGGTTGGTGGCGCTGTTGTTAGGCGCGCCTTCATCTTCCAAGATGGAATTTGACGGGGTCCAAAAGACCGAGTCGTCAGGAGATGAAGGTGGAGAAGGTGGGTCGTCCTGGTCAATCATTGGGTGAATTTTAGATGGACCAGGAATCTGGGAGCAATGATAGCCAGGCGAAGATGAAATTGGTAAGACGGGGGGAGTCGGTTCAGGGATGGCGGCAGCGAGAGTAGTAGCCGGTTCAGAAGTAGACGTGGGCGTAGGCTTTGGTGTGGGGGTTTTGGGGCTTGATGGAGTAGCCTTTTTCGGGATGGATCCGAATACCGTGCCTAAAGAGTGACGCCGGCGAGCCAAGTGGCTTTCTCTCGCCATGGCGAGGTATTCCTTGTAGATAGGTTTGGCACGTCTATGACGTAGCTGGTCCCTCGTGAGTCCGGTAGCCTTCATCATAGGCTCGTTAAAGGGCTTCCCCTTAGGTAGGCTGGCCTCAATATCGGCCATGATAGTGAAGATTTCCGCATCAGGAAGTGTCAGCTGTTTCTCGTCGGCCGACATGTACTCTCGCTTGTGTGATTTTTGCTCGTGGAGACGAACTGCTGCGTATGAAGCAAAGGATTTATCGCAGAAGAGGCAGTTCGTTCTGTCTCCCTTCGCACACTCTGGTTTGCTGACGTGGTGTTTGCTTAATCCACTCCGGGTCTGATAGCCCCTTCCGCACATGTTACAGCGATGTGGGAGCGCTGGGGTTTTGGGGGAGGCAGGCAAACCTGAATTACTAGGCGCCATGTTTGGGGGGTCAGTGCCTCCTCCATTGGAATTCACCGACATGTCGGGAGTGGTTTGGGGGTTGATCGAGGGCAGAAATGGGAAGAGAAATGGAAGTTGCCTCGATCAGAACACAGGGCAGAAAGGTTCGCTTGCCATTGAGGCAGAAAAGGTGGAAAAGAAATTGGGGGGAGCGCGATAGAACCGCGTGAACGGTAGTCCGGTTGTTCGGACAGCGACTCTGAAAGCGAACTGAAAGAGAGGATGGAGTTCTGGCTGCACAGGTACTTACCCGCAGATAGAACAAGCTGCCCTGGGGCGCGGTGGACGTTGCTCGTCTTAGCCGTTGTCGTCCGCACACTGCGCGATGGGCGAACCAAAGGTTCCAGACGCCCCACACTATCTTGTAGTTCTGGACGATCTCGACGGTCTAGAAGATCTTGACGGTCTCGAGGGTCTTGAAGTTCTTGACGGTCTGGGAGGTCTGGACGTTCTAGCCCGCTCGGTGGAATTCTGCGAGGCAGATGTCGTGTCGAGCAAGCCCTCCCAACTCAGTTGGATCGAGTCGGGGCAATTCGAGCAACTCAGTGCAGGTCCGGGAGTGTTCGGAGTAGGCTGGGGTTGTGTGGTAAGGGCACTCTACTCAAGACCCAGGTGTTCCCGGTGTCAGTTCTCAAGAATAGCTGACTTGCGATTTTGTTATAAAACTCTTCACCTTCATCGGGGGTGGGCTATCCCTTAGAACGGGACTCGCTACAGGGGTGGTTTCTGTGGGGAACCCTGGGTCCTGCCGACTTTCCGATGAATCAACACCTGGAATTTCCCTCAGGTCTGTAGGATGGCCGGGAGAGCCCTTTTCCTGAGTTGGAGTAGGAAAAGGCCGGTAACGACGGTGGAACGTTACTCCAGGTCCGGGTAGAATACTACGGTAGATTTCTACAAATCTCAACCTCCGTGCCGGTGTTATCGAACATTAGTGAGGTCCCCTATATGGCTGACACTTATTTGAAATGTTGAAGTATCAGCTGTTCGATGTAAACATGGGATTTTGGAGGATTTAGGGCCTTTACTGACTTACTCAGGCTAGCTTCGGACTTCCGCACACTCACAAGCGTGTGTCAACGGCCACTCTCGACGCGCATATACTTGAAACTTTTATTTGATATACTTTTCCGCCGGGATTTAAATTTGAAATTTCCGTTGACGGAAAGCGGTCGTGGTGTGTTCGAAAACCTTAAGAGAGTCATAGTTACTCCCGCCGTTTACCCGCGCTTGATTGAATTTCTTCACTTTGACATTCAGAGCACTGGGCAGAAATCACATTGCGTCAACATCACGTTAAGACCATCGCAATGCTTTGTTTTAATTAGACAGTCGGATTCCCCCGGTCCGTGCCAGTTCTGAGCTGACCGTTAAATAGCGGCCGAAGAGGACACCGAAAAGCCGAAACTTTCCGGGCCTCGCAGCAAAGCGGTTCCGCGGGAGGTCAAGGCGCGAGACCGAGCTCGGATCCAGCCGAAACTTTCACCCCGCCCAGGCCCGGCTCGTTAACCAGGACCCGCTTCCTCGCCAAGCCCGACACGCCCCGATCCTCAGAGCCAATCCTTATCCCGAAGTTACGGATCCAATTTGCCGACTTCCCTTACCTACATTATTCTATCGACTAGAGGCTCTTCACCTTGGAGACCTGCTGCGGATATGGGTACGAACTGGCGCGACGCCTCCACGTGGCCCTCTCCCGGATTTTCAAGGTCCGAGGGGAAGATCCGGACACCGCGGCAACTGCGGTGCTCTTCGCGTTCCAAACCATATCTCCCTGCTAGAGGATTCCATGGAACTCGAACGCTCATGCAGAAAAGAAAACTCTTCCCGGATCTCCCGACGGCGTCTCCGGGTCCTTTTGGGTTACCCCGACGAACTCTCTTGCGAGGGCCCGACTTATTGACGGTTCCGCTGCCAGGTTCCGGAATAGGAACCGGATTCCCTTTCGCCCAATGGGTGTGTACTAGTTTTAGAACGCTCGCCAGCAGCAGCGGCCTCGGGGTATCGTACGTAGTACGATACCGACGCCGCAGCGCGGCGAGCTTTTGTGTCGTAAATCTACACCACATCGACATCGGCTTTCGCCTAGGGCTTAGGATCGACTGACTCGTGTGCAACGGCTGTTCACACGAAACCCTTCTCCACGTCAGTCCTCCAGGGCCTCGCTGGAGTATTTGCTACTACCACCAAGATCTGCACCGACGGCGGCTCCAGACGGCCTCACGGCCAGCCCTTCTGCGCTCACCGCCGCGACCCTCCTACTCGTCAGGGCTTCATGATCGCCACGAGGGCGATCGCACATGCCGCTGACGGTCGAGTATAAGCACGACGCTTCAGCGCCATCCATTTTCAGGGCTAGTAACTTCGGCAGGTGAGTTGTTACACACTCCTTGGCGGATTCCGACTTCCATGGCCACCGTCCTGCTGTCTTAAGTTACCAACGCCTTTCGTGGTATCCCATAAGCGTCGATTTAGGCGCTTTAACTCGACGTTTGGTTCATCCCACAGCGCCAGTTCTGCTTACCAAAAATGGCCCACTTGGCACTCTGATCCGTGTCTCGCGGCTTCATAAGTTCGAGCAAGCCGGAGATCTCACCCATTTAAAGTTTGAGAATAGGTTGAGGTCGTTTCGACCCCAATGCCTCTAATCATTCGCTTTACCGGATGAGACTCGTGCGCAACGAGCGCCAGCTATCCTGAGGGAAACTTCGGAGGGAACCAGCTACTAGATGGTTCGATTAGTCTTTCGCCCCTATACCCAGTTCCGACGATCGATTTGCACGTCAGAATCGCTACGGACCTCCATCAGGGTTTCCCCTGACTTCGTCCTGACCAGGCATAGTTCACCATCTTTCGGGTCCCAGCGTGTACGCTCATGGTGCGCCTCTTCTCGCAATGAGAACGAGACGCCCCGGGAGTGCTGAGCGGCCACTTTTAAGGGTAAACCGCCCGTCCTCCCTCAGTCTCCGCGAGGAAGACCTTTACTTTCATTGCGCCTTTAGGTTTAGTGATTCCCAATGACTCGCGCACATGCTAGACTCCTTGGTCCGTGTTTCAAGACGGGTCCTGAAAGTACCCAAAGCTATAGCGTCGCCGGATATTGAATTCAATGACTCCGCAAGTAACTCCTCGGCCCCCAGCACAACCACAATCCACCACAAAGCTAGGCAAAGTGTCTCACAACGAAACAAGCCCAAACAACCGGCTAAACAACTCGCCGTAAAACCTGAAAAACCACCCCCAATTGTAGTGAAGGGCAAGTTTCTTAATCACAAACATTTGACAGACACCCTTGCTAAACTAAGCATAACTAGATATTCGCTAAGGTACGCCAAACATTCAACAATAATCTATTGCGACGAGAAAATTGACTGGCAAACTCTACTAAGGAACTTCGAGGCCGAAGAAATGGAATTTCACACTTATGCCGAAAAAACAACCAAAGGACACGCGTTCGTTCTCAGAGGTCTTGAGGGAGACATTTCCACAACCGAGCTAGCTGAAGATCTAAAAAACCGCTATAACATCACAACAAAAAACATTTTTAGAATGAAAACGAAGTACGAGCCTATGTACCTCATCATTCTAGACTCCAGCTACACCCTCAAGACCCTGAAACAGAACGTCAAAATTATATTGAACATTCGCATTACCTGGGAAAATCGAAAATCAGAGCGCCCAGTAATGCAATGCCGTAGATGCCAGGGGTTGGGGCACGCGGCAACTTACTGCAAGCGAGCCACCAAATGCAGTAAATGCGCAGGGCCACATCAAATTACTGAGTGCGAGAGCGTAACGGAGAAATGTGCCAATTGCGGGGGCAGCCATCGCAGCCACAACGAAAACTGCCCGGTCTACATATTTAAACTTAGACAGCTGGAACCCCGCAAGACCTACATTCCGGCACCCGCACCCCAAAAACCAGCTTGGCGTACCCCAGCCAGGCAACTTTCTACCGCCTCAACAACATCGACGAGACCCAGGCCCGAAAATTACAATAACGAATTTCCCGAAATGCGCCGCTATACTAAAGCGCAACAACCAGCAACCCCTATTAGACCCAGCAACACAACCAACGCTTTGGGGATGGCAAGTGGCACCCAAACCGACTTCCTGAAACTAGCTACAACAATGAACGAGCTGAATTCATTGGTAAATATAGGTGAACTCCTCAAAGCACTTAACTCTTATATTTCCCTGCTGAAGGAATGCAACGGGGACAAATCCCAGATACTACATGCAACGATGCATTTCTTCAGCACGGAAATTCACCGCTTCGATTTTTAAAATGTGGTTGATAATCAGCTGGAACTGCAACGGTATCAAGTCAAAACTTGGCGACCTGTATCAAACAATAAACCGTTGCAGGCCCAAACTGATGTTTCTAAATGAAACCAAACTAGGACCGACAGATAAACTAAAACACCAACATTACAACGTAGAACGAATGGACAGAAACAATCAGGGAGGGGGTGTTGCCTGCCTAATTCACAACTCCATCAAATATCGGAGAATCAAAACGCTTCGTACAAACATAGAGCATATTACACTTGAACTTGACAACGCCCTGTGGATCTCGGGAGGATACGCCCCACCCGAATCCATAAGAGCGTCAAGAGACATTAGCGTATTTTTTCCCAGGAAAAGCAGAGCTCTTCTGATAGGCGATCTAAACGCTAAACATGCAAATTGGAACAATGCAAACAACAATCGGGCAGGCAACATCCTCTTCAAATACCTAAACTCAAACCCGACAATTCGACTATATCACACCAATAGCCCCACCCACTTCCCAAGCAACGGCAACGCCCCCTCAATAATCGACATCGCTCTCAGCAAAGGACTAACTAACATCGAAACAATGACTAGAGACATGCTTGGATCTGACCACCTGCCTGTTTTTCTGTACTGGAAAGACCACCCCCCAGTACAGGAACAACAGCAGGTGTACAATTACAAAAACTTCGACTGGAATCGCTACAGAAAACGATTAAACGACATCACAGAAATCCCGCCCCCCATTCTCAACACAGCCGATCTCGAACTACAAGTAAATAAACTTACCAAAAACATACAAACCACCCGTGACCAACTCGCCCCAAAAATCTCCATCAGAGAAAAGACAGACACCATCCCCGACGACATCCTGAAAATCATAAAAGAAAGAAACAAAATCAAACGAGCTTGGCAAAGACGTCCCAACAACCTTGACAGACAAATACTTAAACTAATGAACAGCGAAATAGAGAGGAGCATACGTAATCATAGGAACCGATCCTGGATGAAATATGTCTCCTCTCTAGAAGCACAGGACAACTCCTTGTGGAAGCTGGCCAGAACCCTAAAACGCTCAGGCGCCAAGGAGGCGGAGCTTAGAGTAAATGGTACCAGCTACTACAAGGAGTAAGACAAAGCCGAAATCTTCGCAAACCATTTTGAATCGGCTTTCGACGAGACTCCCGACGAGACAAACGACCAAAGACTCATTTCAAACAACATCGACGATTTCAGCAGTCGCAAATACCCCATCCCCCCGAGACAACTCAATAACTTAATCACCTCGCCTGCTGAAATACTACGAATAAC